TGAAAGGGGATATCAAATCAACACTGGTACTTCTCTTCTGGAAACTAATAAAGACAAGTTTTATCAGCCTCTCCTCATAAGTCATGTGCTCCAGACCCCTAATCATTTTTGTTGCCCTCCGCTGGACTCTTTCCAATTTTTCCACATTCCACTCTTTCCAAATAAAGGATGTTCCACGTGGAAAGAGTCAATATTCTAATAGAAGCAATTTCAATTTTCTGCAATTCAGCATCCATACAATCAGCCAGGAAATTGCCTGTCTCTCATTTAACTTGTTAGTGGCCAAAGAGTTCTGTAAAATTATGTGGTGTTTGTCTTATGACTCTCCTGCAGAAATACATTGAATCTCAATCCTAGATCCTTGTAACCTCTTAGGACAGAGATCAAGGTGTCATTGTGGACAAATCAATGAAGATGTTTGTTCAGTGTGTAGTGGTTACTGAGTAAGAAATTAAGATATTAGGCTGTACTGTGACAGACAGAAAACACTACAAAGTTATCTATGGTGCAGCTTCACCTTAAATAATGCTGTATTCATTTTTGGGGCCTTTCTCTCCTAGACTATAGCCTGTGTTATGCAGGAGGCCAGATTAGATGATCACAGTGGTCTCGTCTGGCCTTAGAATCTGGGAATCATATGATGGAAGAGACTCATTAAAGAGACCGATACTGGTATTTTAGTACAGCATTTGATATAGTATCTCACAAAACCTTACTCCCAAAATTGGGTGGGATAGGAGATTTCTTGGATATAGAACAGTCCAAAGATCACAAACTGGAATTAACAACAAATAGCCATGTTCTGGGTTGGGAGAAGGTTACAGCAGCATTTGGTCCAGGATTTAAAATGGTCATCATTGCGCTGGATGGGGAGGTAAGCAGCATGCCAATGGATTTAGGAGGTGATGCTAAACTGGGAAGAATTGCAAACGCCAATGAGGACAGGAAAACAATAGGGAAAGTTGCAAAATAACAAAACTGCAAACAATATGGCAGCTAATATATTTGGGGACAGGTTGAAATGCTCCACTGGAAGGACTATCATGGGAAGCAGTAATGCTGAATGAGACTTTTACAAAATACCAAATACTCTGTGCTTGCCAAGTACCAGAGAACATCGTGTGATTTTTTTTTTTTTTTTTTCCCCCACTAACAGGCGTGCTGTCACCAAACTAGATGTTGCATCCCTGATTGAACATGGGGAAGAGCCATGTGTCCAGGCTCACCAGGATTCGAGGGAAAGACCCCTTTCTAAAAGGGTCTCCTTTGGTGAGTAATAACTAATGAACTCTTCAGAAACTTTGAGTGAGGTAATGAGCTGAGAAAGAAGCCCACATTTCATGAGCGTCTATTGAAACAGCTTTTGTCCCCTCCAGTCAGCTTAGTAGCCAGCTGTTATTACATCTTTTTGGCAGGCGTCTGTCGTGGATTCCTACCTATCTTGACTGGCTTTGGACTGTAGCCTCCCACTTCGGACTTCTGAGTGGTCAGGTGGGATGGCAGGACATAGTGGATATCATTGTCTTGCCTCTCTGTAGAGCTTTGAAACATTGAAACCAGGAGGTGGAGAGGGAGCTTCTGAATCAGAAATGTAGAGCTGGAAGGGACCTTCAGAGGCTCATTTAGTTCATCTGCCTGCACTGAGGCAGGACCCAGTCCTAGGAAACCTAAACCAACCCTGTCAAGTGTTTGACCTGTTCTGAAAAACCTGCAATGAGACAGATTCCACAACCTCCTTAGTTCATAGAATCATAGAAGATTAGGGTTGGAAGAGACCTCAGGAGGTCATCTCGTCCCAACCCTCTGCTCAAAGCAGGACCGAGCCCAACTAAATTATCCCAGCCAGGGCTTTGTCAGTTAACCTGTTCCAGTGCTTAACTATCCTTAGAGTTAGACAGTTTTCCATAATATCTAACCTAAATTTCTGTTGCTTCAGATTAAGCTTCTTGTCTTTCCTTCTGTGGGCATAGAGAACAATTGGTCACCATCGTCTTTCTAACAGCCCTTCACGTACTTAATGACTGTTATGGGGTCCCCCTTCAGTCATCTTTTCTCCAGACTAAATGTGCCCAGTTGATATAAACCTTTCTGCATAAATTAGGTTTTCTAAGCCTATTATAATTTTTGTTGCTCTCCTCTGGATGGTCTCCAATTTGTCCACATCTTTCTTCAAGTGTGGCACCCAAAACTAGACACAGTACTCCATCTGAGGCCACAGTACTGAGTACAGTGTAACAGTTACCTCCTGTACATACAACACTCCTGAAGGGAGATGGAAGGAATATTTTCAGCTTTTCTAATAGAGCCTGTAGTCAAAATGCCAACATTATATGCTTTACATTCACAAGTCCAATATCTTTTGTGTGTTGAAGTAACATCTGGATTCTCCATTTATTCCAGCAGATGATGGAATCAAGTGGAAGACTGAAGAGAATCATCAGCAGGGAAATTCTGAGGGTTTGGCAGAGCACAGGAATTTATCACAGAGAGAGAAAGCAAATAGCTCTGATGTGGGAAATACGTGTGAGGGTGAACGTGGGCCAGCCGACCAACACGGGAACATAGGGGATGAGAGCGTGGAGAAATCCACTCCAAATGAAAGACCTTTCAGCAAATGCCAAAACATTCCTATTCGCACAGGAGAGAGACCCCATAAATGTACTGAGTGTGACAAAAGCTTCACTCGCCGCTCACATCTTCTTCAGCACCAGAGAATCCACACGGGGGAGAGACCCTATAAATGTACCGAGTGCGAGAAAAGCTTCCGACAGAGATCAGAGCTGATTGATCATCAGCGAACGCATACGCAAGAGAAACCCTACAAATGTGACAAGTGTGGGAAAAGGTTCATTCGGAGCACACGGCTTATTCAGCATCAAAATGTTCACAATGGAGTGAAACCCCACAAGTGCCCCCAGTGTGAGAAAAGTTTTAGCTGGATCTCCTCAGTTATTAAACACCAGAGAGTCCATACAGGTGAGAAACCCTATAAATGCCCCGACTGTGAGAAAAGCTTCAGCTGGAGCTCGACCCTGATAAAGCATCGGAGACTCCACACAGGAGAGAGACCCTATAAATGCCCTACCTGTGCAAAGTGTTTTGTACAGAGTGCAAATCTTATTAAACATCAGAGAGTCCACACAGAACAGAAACCCTATACATGCGGGGAATGTGAGGAAACATTTTTGATCAGGTCTCATTTCATTCTGCATCAGAGAATGCACGCAGGAGAAGAACTCTACAAGTGCGATGGCTGTGAGGAGTGGTTTGGTCTTGTCTCGGACCTTCATAAACATCAGAAGAGCCACACAGGAAAGAAGCCCTATAAATGCTCTGAATGTGACAAAAGCTTCAACAAGAGTTCAAATCTTATTAAGCATCAGAGAATCCACACGGGGGAGAGACCCTATAAGTGCCCCGACTGTGACAAAAGCTTCATTCAGAGCTCGCACCTGATGCTCCATCAGAGAGCACACAGGGGAGAAAAACCCTACAAATGCCTGGACTGTGAGAAAAGTTTCCACCAGAGCTCCCATCTCATTCAACACCAGAGAGTCCACACGCAAGAAAAACCCTTTAAATGTCCTGCGTGCGAGAAAAGTTTCAGCCGAAGCTCAGTGCTAAATAAACACAAATTAATCCACGTGGGAGACCAGAGCTATAAATGCAGCCAGTGTGAGGAAACCTTCACTAGCAACTCCCGCCTTCTTCAGCACAAGAGAACCCACCATGTGGAAAGACCTTACACATGCCCTAACTGTGAGAAGAGTTTCAGTCGCAGTTCGCAGCTTATGCTCCATCAGAAAAACCACGCAGCAGAAAAACCTTACAAGTGTGCTGACTGTGACAAAGGCTTCGTTTACAGCTCACATCTAATTCAGCATCAGAGAACTCACACTAGAGAACGACCTTATAAATGTCATGTGTGTGAGAAAAGCTTCATTCAGAGCTCACATCTCCTTCAGCATCAGAAAATCCACACGGGAGAGAGACCTTTTAGATGTAGTGATTGTGAGAGAACCTTCAATCGGAGCTCCAACCTTATTAAACACCAGAGAACTCACACCAGGGAGAACCCGTAAGAGATGCTTCCATATTAACTCCACGCTCTTGACGATAAGAGTATTCACACAGAAGGAAAATCTTATAAATATTCCATGGGTGAGAGAACCTTCAGTCAGAAGTGTCATGTTGTTGTTCAACTTCACTGTATCAAACTGAATTAAGGTCTCTAGGAAACTTGCCTTGACCTTCTTATACTGGCAAGAGTTTTGCTGGTATAAATTATATCAGTTTCCCTAACAATATACCATCCTGGCAAATGGACTCATTTGCTGATATAATTATGCCTACGCTACAAAGCTTGCCAGCAGTTATGTCTATTTGAGGTGTGATGTGTGAGTGAACAATGTGCTGGTAAAAGCCCCTAGTGTAGGCACAGTTACATTGCCAAAATTTGCACTTTACCAGTAGAATTTATTTTGTTTGTGCGGGGACGAGGACGGACACTGTAATAAACTATACCAGCAAAATGCTATTTTGCCAGTATCACCAGAGTCCATGTTAGCAGCAGTATGCGGGTATTGTATATTGGTATAGTTATATTGGCAGAGCCTTACAAGTGTAGGACTCCAACACAGTAAGTAACAAAGCGTTGATTGCCTTTGAATAGTGAATAGTTAAGCTCCCCTAAAAATGAGCAAGAGACGCAGCTTGATAGCTGTCCATGTGCAGAGAAAGAATAGACACACACACACACCCCTCCCGGTCACAAGAATTGATCAGAGCTGATTTAGCTTCTGCTTTTCAGGTCATGTATTCCATCATCTGTCATTGGGACTGTTCCGCCTGGAAGAGGGAATAACTTACATGGTCATTCACTATTCAGATGGTGTAAAACTGGTGCGAGCTGCAAATGCCATTGAGGAAAGAGAAATAAGTCAAAGGGGCCTGGGGGGATTAAGCACCCCATATGGGTAGACATCAAGCGGGTAGGTAGAAAAATGAAAACTGCTGCATGTGAGCAAAAGTGATGTGAAATACAAATAGTCACTGACAGAAAGCTAGCGTGAGCGGCGCTGACGATAAAAGGCAACAGTATAGAGATGTTTGCTTTCGGGTGTGTCATTGTACAGTCATCTTGCCTGAGTCTAGCTCAGAATATCACTAATGAATTCGAGGTTGTGAGTGAGAGTCCAACACTGAGTTCTGGTCCCAGCTTTGTGCCTCTGTAGAAGAGAAAAACAAATGTAATTTTGGGTTGTAATTGCAGAGGCATGAGATCCCAGAACAGCTGTGGAACAGTCTCCAATGAGAAGTGATGAGATTCATGTTGCTTGGGCCTTTTAACACTAGACTGGGCACATCCCTGGAAAATATTCTGTGTTGGTTGTCTGGTTTGGGGGAGGGGGTAATTCCTGATCTGACAGTACACCAGCAGGCTGTTGGGTTTTTTTGTTCTTAAGGATAAAAAAAATTAGTACGTCTTTGGAATTAAAATGGTATTTTATCAAACGTGTGAATTGTCTGGAGTTGGGGCGGGGAAGGGATGCTCCCAGTATGCAGTGTCCTCAAATGGCTAAGTTGCGTTGCCTGTGAATTTAGTGCCACTTCGTTGCCTAGCAGGGCTGCCTGCCTTTGTATCACCCTCACTATCTTGTCAATGCGCCCTGTCCACAGCTCACAGTCCTTATCTCTCCTTGGTGTCATGGTAAAGGAAACCTTGCCTCCACTCTTCAGTCTTCTTCTGCCTTTACAGATGCTGACACAAATATGCCTTCTCATGTGCACGTGCTCTCTCTCTCTCTTCTCCCCCCCTCAAAGATTTGCCTGGCGTTCAGCCACGGATAATGCTTCTGTCCATGTGGGCAGTGATGTGTCAGGACGGGGGTGGGGTGGGGGGAGGAGGGGTAGAAACAGCACAAGTAGCTATCGTCTCAGTTCTAGTCTCCATGCCAATAATAATAGTGTTGCTTTTCCTTCGTTTTGGAATTCCATTCACATGGGACTACCAAAGCTTGGAGATGGTAAGATCTTTTTCCACCTTGCTTCCCTCCATATATAGGACCTCTGTAGAAATGCCAGGTTGGTGGTGGACTGGGAATTGGGGAAGGTGAGGGGGGAGGCAGCTGGGAGCAGGTTAAGCTCATGTGCACAGCTGCAGGCTGCCCGTACTTGGCAAATATGATGCTGAGGGCAGAGCAAGATCTTGTTCAACAAGGCCATGGGCAAACCGGGAAGATATTCTGCACCACTCTGTCAGGCTGGTGCCGGAGTGGAAGGGAACCACAAGCTATAAGGGTAGAGCCAAGTGAGCTGCATTGCCTTGCGATGTGCATGGAAAAATAGTCATGTCTTTACCTTCAGTTCTCTTTTATGATACCTGCAGAGCAGCACAACCTGCACTGCGAAATCAATGGAATTTTGCAGGAATGGCTCCAAGCCCAAGGGATCAGATAGCAATTTTAAGGCAATCATAGCTACCCATTTCCCAAGTCTCTGTAGCCTCCTTTAGGCAATGTACCTCCTCAAATCTCAAGGCAGCTAAAAGTTGAGGACCTTAATCCAACTGTAAGCCCAGGTGCTTTGTCTCTGGCGCTACAATAAGCATGCCTGCGGTGCAGCCGTTGAGACGAGTGTGGTGCCCCTGTGGTGGGTGGGAAGGAGCAGGAAGCCGCATAGGAAGGTGGGGGGGGGTGAGTAATGTGTTTCACTGATGGTTGTAGGATTTGATATTTTAGAGAAATTGCTTTGGAGCGTTTCCCTAATGCACAACCACCCACCATGGCGGTGCCCTGAGGGTACCTGGAATAAAGCTGTTTAAAGGTTGTATTTTGATATAGCCCCTAATAGTTATGGGTGTGAAAGTCAGTAGTGACCCCCCCACACCTTCCTTTCTTTACAATCCAGCAGCCGTTATGGCTACCAATGGCCATTAGAGATAGCAGGCGCCTCACGTACACAGCTAGCCTGAACTTTTGAACTATCTTGTCTCCCCTGCCTTGAGGCAGAGCAGACCGGCTGCAAAGCGGTTTTCACTGACCAGATAGCAGAAGTGCAGGGTCTGCTAACCACCAATCAAGTGTTAACACGGCAGGAGTCTTTGTCTGAGTGTGTATAAAGGATCTGTGAAATTTGTGTAAGACAGTTTTTGTACCAAGGTGCAAAGCTCTCCTTTCTTCTGCAGAATAAAGCAACCTTTTCCTTATCTCTGCCTGGCTGTTATTAGCTCTCAGCTAGGTGGACCCGACATTTTGGTAACATGGGGAAAGGTCCCCTTCCCAGCAGTGTCAGAATGGGTCTCCGACTGGCAATCAGGCAACTCCTGGATCAGCTAGGTGGACCCAACATTTCGGTAAGTTTCTGGCACCCCAGATGGGACCCTCCTAGCTCGGACATTGGACTCTGGACGGCTGTGGCGAACTAGGAACGGCACCAACGAGGTGCTTAGCCCCTTTTCCTCACTTCACCGCAGCCCCTGGGGTTCGTGCTCCAATAAGATGAGCCCTAATAAAATAAAAAAACGCTATCTGACTCTGGTTCTGTTCTGGTTAACGAATTTCTATCTTGTACACTTGGGTGTTAGGTGTGTGGGCGGAACTGAGCCTCTTGCTCACACTCTTTTTTATTTAATCCTGATCTGATGGTGTCAAATTTGCAAATGAACTGAAGCTCAGCAGTTTCTCTTTGAATTCAATGAGAATTCAGTTCATTTGGAAATTTGACACCATCAGCTCAGGATTAAACAAAGACTGTGAATGGCTAGCCAACTACAAAAGCCATTTCTCCTCCTGTGGTGTTCATACCTCAACTGCTAGAAGAGGGCCTCACCCTCCCTGATTATCTCCAGACTGATTCTTGCCTGCATATTTATACCTGCCTCTGGAAATTTCCATTAGATGCATCTGACGAAATGGGTATTCACCCACGAAAGCATATGCTCCAATGCGTCTGTTTAGTCTTTAAGGTGCCACAGGACTCTTTGTTGCTTTTTACAGATCCAGACTAACACAGCTACCCATCTGATACATATTTACCAGGACACCTGGTAAAATTACTTGTACTCAAACGAGTTCAATGGCAATCAGTCAGAACTATGCAGTACAAACGTTTATATTTTTGTACAGCAAGCACTTGATTTCTCCAGGTTTAACCTTAAAAATCTTGATTTGTACAAAGGCTCCACATGGGCAGGTAGCATTTTGCCCAGTAAGTCTAACTTCCGCAGGTCCCTTTGAATTATTTCTCTTTCTTCGCGGCTCCTACCAATTTCATACCATCTCCATATTTAATGCCCATGGTATGTCTACACTATGAAATTAGTTCCAATTTATAGAAGCCGGTTTTATTGAAATCGGTTGTATACAGCCGATTGTGTGTGTCCCCACATAAAATGCTCTAGGTGCTCTAGTCGGCGGACCGCGTCCACAGTACGAGGCTAGCGTCAACTTCCGGAGCATTGCACTATGGGTAGCTATCCCACAGCTATCCCACAGTTCCCG